TTTTTCTTCTTTTTTTTTGTTTTATTTTTTTGTTATTGAAGATAATAAGAGAAGAAATAAAAAGAATATTCTAAGAGAAGAATAAACTTAAAAATTCAATGTTGCTTTTACTTATCTCACTTACAACAGCAATCGACGTTAGTTGTAATATTTCTTTTTGTCAAGAATGTAAAGGGGATCAATGCTCACTTTGCATGGATGGATTTTTGCTTCAAAATGGTCAATGTGTTTATGGAAGATCAGTAATAAAACATTGCAAAACTATTAAGAATAATAGGTGTTATAAATGTTTTGATGGATATCATATTCATCATGGGGAATGTGAAAAAAATGATATTTTATGTGTTGAATACCATAAAGGACATTGTCAAAAATGTAGAGAAGGATATACATTAATTGGTGATGAATGTAAAAAGTGTAATGTTCCAGGATGTGTTGATTGTGATGGTGATGTAAACAAATGTAATTGGTGTTATCATCAATTTTTAAGAATTAATGGATCATGTATTCAAACAATTGATGCTTGTGATACTTATGTTAATCCATTATTTGAAAAATCACCTTGTTTAAATTGTAGAGAAGCATATTGGATTGAAGATGGAAAGTGTGTTAGTTTGTTCTTTTTTAATTCATTTTTATTTAACAAAAAAGAAAAGCGTTCAATATAATAGAAACTCAAATTGAACATTGTATGTCAGTTAATAAAGCTCATTTATGTGGTACATGTTATGAACCATATGAGGTTAATGAAAATGGAACAGCTTGTGTTATAAAAGAGAAAAAACAAATTGATGGGTCTGAATTTAATTTATATGTTAGATGTGAGTTATTACAATTAGATATTCCAGAATGTATGAAATGTGATGATGGATTTTATAGAAGTAATAAAACTGGAGAATATAAATGTCATGGTTTGTTAAAGGTAATAAAAAAAGAAGTACAAATAATTTTAACATAATAATACTTAATAAATAGAATGTACTGAATCTGATAAAACAACATGTGAAGGAAAAGATAAAGATAGTTGCAGAAAATGTAATTCAGATTGTTCATTTGTTAATGGAAAATGTGAACTTACTAATTGTGCAGAACATTCTCTTCCATATGATAGTATTCCATCTAAATGTAAAAGATGTAAACCAGGGTATATTCCTGTTGATTTTGAATTTTGTAAGAAAAGTGATGGATGTTTAAAAAAAGTAGGAGACAAATGTTCTGAGTGTTATGATAATTATTTTATAACAAAAGACTTTTCATGTGAACGTTTGTTATTTTATTTTAACTGTTTATAGTCTTTTATTTAATAATTCTTAATTTAATTATTACAGCATGTGATGTTTCTTGTCAAACTTGTTCTAATTCTGCTAAACAATGTACAAGTTGTGTAAATGAAGGATATTCACATAGTTATGAAACTTGTGAAGTATGTAGTGATACTGGATGCAGTAATTGTGATGAAAATAAAGATTTTTGTACACATTGTTATGATGGATATAGTGTTGATGAAAATGGAAAATGTGTATTAAAATGTTTTGAAACTGATGGTAAAGTTTGTACAATTTGTCGTGATATGTATGATGGTAAATACAAATTTTATTTACCAACAAATGGTACTTGTGAAAGATATTCAGAAATTGCTAAAAAGTTAAAAGAAAAGAAATGTGAGAATGGTGTTTGCACTGAATAAAAAACTATTTCCTAATTGAATTTCTTTTCTCGTAATTGAATTTTATCTACTAAAAAAGAATAAGTTATTAAAAATAGGATAATAACATTTTTTTATAACTAAATTATAATATAAATAAATAACGTTTTTCTTTTTTAAATCAAAATTTATTTTATTTTTATTCAACTATAACATTTTTTTTTACTATCAAAGTAAAAACAAAAATTAAATAATAATAAAAATATTTTGGGTTGTATAACAATTATTTTTCTTTTATTCAAAAAAAAACAGTTGAACATGACACAACAAGAAGACGACAACAATTACCCAAATGAAATAAACTCTCCACAAATGGAAGAAATCAAAACTGATATACAAATGAATGAAGAAAAAGAAGAAAAAATTGAAGAACAAGAAAATAAGAGAATAGAAAAACCACAAACTAGAAAAGAAAGAGAAGAATATCAAAAACAAAGTTTTATTGCACTAAAAAGAACATTAAATGGATTAGTAAACAAAGTTAGTTTAAGTAATATTAAAACAATTATTGTAGAATTATTTAAAGAAAATTTAGTCCGTGGAAAAGGGTTATTTGTTAATTCAGTGATAAGAGCCCAAGACGCTGAACCAAATTTTTCAAATATTTATGCTACTTTAATTGCAGTAATTAATACAAAAATTCCAGCTATTGGAGAATTAACAATACACAGAATAATTCATCAATTTAATTTAACAATTAAAAGAGAAGAAGAAGATAGTTCATTAAGAAAACTTCAATTTATTGCACAACTTACAAATCAACAAGTCTGTTCAGTCACATTACCTCTTCAAATATTAATTCAATTAATGAAAAATCCAACAGATGAAAATATTGAAAAAGTAGTGACATTATTATTAAATGTTGGAGAATATTTTGATTCAATAATAAAAGGAAAAGTTCAACCAATTTATGAGCAACTAAGAGGAATTGTTTCTAGAAAGAAGGCTTCAGAAAGAATATGTTTTAAAATTAATCAACTTTTAAATGAACGAAGGAATGGTTTTATTAATTATCCTTCAGTAATAGAAGAATTAGACCTTATTGAAGATGAAGATAAAATTACTCATACTGTTGATTTAACTACACCATTAAATACAATGGATGAACTTAATCTTTTTAAATTTGATGAAGAATTTGAACAAAATGAAAGAAAATGGGAAATTAAAAAAGCAGAAATTATAGGAGAAGAGAGTGAAGAAGAAGACGATGATGACCAAATACAAGAACAACAAAAAACAAAAGAAGAAACAGAAATTGAAAAATTTGATGATCAAACAGGAGCAGAAGAGATATTTTTAAAGAAAAAGATTTATATTACCATTATGTCATGTTATAATTTTGAAGAATGTGTACATAAATTATTAAGTCTTAAATTAAGAGAAGGTGAAGAAAGAATATTAGTAGAAATGGTTATTGAATGTTGTTCTCAAGAAAAAACTTATAAAAAATATTATGGACTTGCCTCGGAAAGGTTATGTGTTTTACACATTTTATATAAAAACCTTTTTATTGATCAATTTAAAATTCAATACCAAACTATTCATCTAAAAGATATGAATCAAATACGTAATATAGCAATGTTATATTCATATCTTTTTTATTCAAATGCTATTCCTTGGGAACTTTTTTCAATTATTAAATTAACCGATGATGATACTACACCTTCTTCACGTGTATTTCTAAAAATTATGTTCCAAAACTTATTTGAAGAAATGGGAATGAAAGAATTTAAAGAAAAACTTTTCTCAAATGAACTTCAAGAAAGTGTTAGAGGAATGTTTCCAACTGAAGACAAAGAACATATTATTTTTGCTTTTAATTTCTTTAAAGGAATTGGATTAGTAGAATTAGCCAAACCATTGCAACAAAATTATTTAGCACTAAAAGAAAAAATGAAGAAAGAAAATGATTGAATTTTTTGTTATTCAAAAAAAACGTTATTTAAAAAGAGAAAAAAAAAAGAAAAAAGAAAAAGACAGAAAAAAGAACTAAAAGGATTATTATATTATTAATAAAAAAAATGATGTGGATTTATTTACATTTAATAATTGTAATATGTTTTGCAAATCAAATTAATGGAAATACTAATAATGAATGGATGTCATTAAGAACACTCATTGCAAATGATAATAATAGTGAACAATTAAAATTAATAAATAAACAAAGACTAAAAAGATTAAATGATATTGAAGAAAAATATATGAAAGCAACACAACGTTCAAGAAATTATGAACGAGAAATGGCAAAAAGAGATAAACAACAATTAGAAATTAATAAAGAAATTCATGAACGAGCAAATGCATTTAATTTAAAATGGATGAAAAGTAATATTAAAGGAACATGGAATAGAAAAAGAATTTCTGAAAGAAATAATTTTAAAGAACAAACAGAAAAAATTATTCCAAGTGAATATTTATTAAAAGCATCACCAATTGACAAAAATCCAGTGTACTTAAAAATGATTCAAAAAAATAAAATAAGAGAAAAAGCACATAAAGAATTTATGAAAAAAAATGGAAAAACATGGAGTGAAACTGAATCACTTTTAAATCAAATTAATGGAGTTGTTGGAAAAGTAAATGAACTTGAAAAACAACGTAAATTAAGAAAGAAATATTCTAAACCAAAATATGTAAAAATTGTATATAAAAATAATGGTCCACAATATTATCGTAAAAGATATATTCATAAACCAATTACTCCTTATATTAATACTTATTATAATAAACCTTTTACTCATAAAATTTATAAAAAAGTTATTAAATCTATTCATCATAAACCTGTTAAATATGAATTTAATAAAGATAAAAAATTTAATGCTTTTCTTCATGATGATACTTGGAAAAATCAAATGCAATTAAAATGGAAAGAATATGAACAAAAAAGACTTAGCTCTAAAGAACATGAACAAATTACTCGTGACATTAAAAAAATGGAATTAGAAGAAAAAAATGCTTTAAATGAAATTAAAACTCGAATGACTCAATCAGAAAAAGAACTTCAAAAACGTTCAGAATTACTTAAAAAAGCTTTACAACATGAAAGAGAAATGAGTGAAAAAAAAATTGCTAAAGAAATTCAAAAAAAAGCTATAGAATTCGCAATTGAAAGAAATAAATTAAGAAGACAATTTAAAGAAACTATGAATTCTGCTTTTAAAAAATTACAAGTTGAATATACTACTAATGGATCAGAAAAAGTAGATAATTCAAATGAAATGAAAGAATTGAAAATTTTAACAAAAAAAGTATTAAAAAACTTAAATACTGATGAAACACCTGTTTCAATTCTGATTTAACCAACTCATAAATTTATTGTTTTGTTTTAATATTTTGTATTAAATAACAAATATTAAAAATAATAAAAAAATTAAAAAATTATTGTAAAGAAAAAAAAGAAGAATCTTTTCATTGATTTTAGAAAAAGAACTTAAAACTAAAATTTATAATTTATTTTATTAATGAAGTTAATCATTGTTTTACTTTGTGTTATTTTGTGTTTTGCTCAACAAAGTCAAGAAAATAAACCTGAACCTTCTCGTGTTCATGCTGGTACTGCCCAAAGACAATTAGACAAAGTCCAAGGTGCTTCAAAACAAAGCCAAACTTCAGTAGAATTCCATCACAACCACTTTGTTGAAGAGCTAACAGTTGCAAAAAAAGTATTGTCAGAAACAAGAAATACTATTGTAAATGGACAAAAGAAAGTTACTGATATTGTTGGAAGTATTGTTAATGGAAAACTTCAAGAAATTAATAATTTACAATTAACAGCTCCTGTGTCGTCACGTTCAAATATTAAGAATTATATTGATGCTCTTGATAAAAGTGTTAAATTAGAAAAAGAGACTCGTGTTAAATCACTTTCTGATAAAATGAAAGTACATACCCAAAAATTAACTGAAATGGAAAAAACACTTCAAGAAGCTGAAAACGCTGAAAAAGTTGCACATGACACTGCTTCTAAAACAATTCTTGAAATGTCTACAAGCGCTTCTGAATCATTAAAACAAGCACAACAAAACCCTGAACATAAAGGAGATCTTAAAGATGTTAAAATTCAAACAAGTCAAGGAGGAATAGAAGTTAAACAAACATTCCGTGAAGAAGAACATAAACAAAGAAAGACTGTTAAAGAAATTAAAAGGCAAATAAGATTACTTCGTGAAGCAGCTCAAAAAGAATTTAATGAATTTAAAGAGAATTTAAAAACAAAAATTCAAGAAATGTTTGTTGACTCTAAAACTAAAATATCTAAAGTTATTTCTGACGCTCTTGAAAAAGCACAAGCAGAAAAAGATGCTAAAGAAGAAAGTGCTGAACAAAAAGCTAAACAAGCAGCTGGAATGAATAACGGAGCTTCTCCTCAGCCAAATAAAAAATCTGGAAATCAAATTCCAACACAAACACCAGTACAAAACCAAGCACCAAATTCCCAACAAACACGTTAAGTGAAGTTTTTTATTATCTAAGTATTAAATTAATAATATTATTCATTTTGCAATACTTTAAAGAAAGAAATAAGGTCAGCATAATCATCTCTTTGTATTTTTGATGGATTACTAAATATTAATTGTCTCATTCTATCTTCTGATCTTGGAAATGCACCAAAATATTTTCTAAGGTCATCAAGTGTAAAAATTGGCATAAAGTAGTTTGGTAATTCATTATTAAATATTGACCAATTAATTTCATCTTTTCTTATATTTATCATTACTTTATATTCTTGATCATTTTGAAGTTCAAATGATTGAGGTAATTGTTCAATTGCTTTTACAGCTTGTTCAAAAGTATCAAAATAATGCATAAATAATGAATCATTATTATCACCCATTTCTTTAATAAAGATGATATTTGACCAAATTTGAGATAAGTCAGCTTGTATAATTGTATATAATAATAAAGGTAAAAAAGGTTTACTATTCATACATTTTAAACTTATATAATAACACGTTTGTTCTACTGCTTTTAAAGCACAATAAATACACATAACCTTTTCTGAAGGAGATCTAACCACATCAAGCTTCCTAAAAAATTTAATAGGAACAGCAAGTATTTTATTAAGAAATTCAATTGGACCATCATAACCAAAAAATTTAGGTTGAAGACATAAATAAGATGTACAAGTAGAATGACAAATTGAGTCAAATATTACTGAATCAGTATAGTCTAAATTTTCTAGTTGAGAAATTGAAGGAGGCCATAAATATCTAAATAATTTATTATAAAGAAATACTTTTAAATTTGATGAAAATGTAATAAAATTAAATCCATTATCATCTTGCCATATTACATTATTTTTTACTTTTTCAGATACTTCTTTAATAAATGAAGTGATCATTTGTTTTCTTTCACTTAAAAATTTTTCTTTTGCAAGACTAGGAAATTCAATAATAAATGTCATAATTTTCTTTTCTAATTCAGAATTACATTCTGAGGATAATCGAGAATGAAATTTTGCTGTTTCCATTTCATTTTCTCTTAAATTGTTAATTCGTGTTTCTGTACAATCAATATGAAAATAATGGGGAAATGCTCCACTTCTTATTTGTGGATCATTTTTTTCATCTTCTTCAATATTTGGTATTTGTTTTCTTAACTCATCAAATGAATTTTGTAATTCCATTAATATTTTATACATAGTCGAAGAAGGTGGTGAACTAAATTGTGATGGTTTCATTTTCCACGACCATGGTAATGAATTATTACATATAGGAAATTTGATTGATATGGTAATAATATGATTCCCATTATATGTAAATTCATCAGCTCCACTTGCATGTGTTGTAAATATAGGGTCATTCGTTGGATATGACTGTAATAATTCTGCTAATGTATCAGGTCGATGATTGTTTGTTTGTGTTCCGTTGAATATTGTTATTACTTGTTCTTCAAATTTACCACATAACCCATTTAATGTAACAAACATCATTGTTTTAGGAGATAAATGGATTAAATGAGTTTCAACAATTGCCACTGAAATAGGAATATCTTTGATAATATCAAGTGGTGGCAATAATAAAATGATATTAAAATGAACAACATATCTCATCAGATTTTTGTTTGATATTAAATAATTGATAAGCGGATGATTAACCATAGTTTCAGTAGATTCAACAGATCCACTACTTTGTTCTCCTCCTTTTGAATTTCCAACTATTTTTGACCATCCTCCAAATGCACTTCCAATAGATAATGATGTCCTTGAATATTGTCGTTTAATTCTTTGCATAAATCCTAATTTTTAAGTTTTATTTTTATCATCTTTGAATAACATAATTTTTTTTGTTATTAGAATGTATTTATAGAACAACAATTCTATAAATAAAACATAATAAAAATAAACAATAATCTATAAATACAACACAAAAACATAAAACAAGAGTCAACATTTACAATTAACATTTATTTATTT